TCATCATCCTGTGCTTTCATTTGAAATACAGATAAGAACACACGTAAACCTACCCGGGTAGTGAAAAGAACATGCATACTCCAAGAAACACACACACACCAAGAACTTTCTTGGACTCTTTCTTTATTTGAGGTTATTTATTTTGGGTTTATTGTGCGCTGTGCACTCAGGAAGCCGGCTTAGGTAGGCAGGGAATGTAAATAACTGCCATTCATTTTGTATAATACATTTCTCAAATTTACCTGTTTTGTGTTGTCTGTTCTCTGCTGACCTTTTACTATTTCAGGCTCCGTAGTCGTACCTAGAGGTTCTGATATTAGCCCAGCTTTAATTCCTTACTACTTAAATTAGTTATCAGTTACACTAACCTGAGACCCGGGTTACAAGTGGCGAGCCAGCCAGGAGTCTGGTTATGTGTTAGCAGTGAACCACATTACACGTGTGTGAAACTATTTTCAAGTGTGTAAGCTATTTGTCACATTTATAGATCACTCTTTACCAAACATGGAGTTCATAACAAGCTCAGGTATCAAAGTCCCCAATGCAATAATGGTGAGTGGTTTGCTTGAATCACCAGAAGATGAGTAGATCGTAGACTTCCTTAAGAAGTATGGCTCCATGAGACGTGTCCCAGTTACTGACATTAACTCAGAGTTTTATAAAAACCTGATTATTGAGTATCAAGTATTTTGGGTTTATTGTGCGCTGTGCATTCAGGAAGCCGGCTTAGGTAGGCAGGGAATGTAAATAACTGCCATTCATTTTGTATAATACATTTCTCAAATTTACCTGTTTTGTGTTGTCTGTTCTCTGCTGACCTTTTACTATTTCAGGCTCCGTAGTCGTACCTAGAGGTTCTGATATTAGCCCAGCTTTAATTCCTTACTACTTAAATTAGTTATCAGTTATACTAACCTGAAACCCGGGTTACAAACACAATAGAACAAAAAAATAATTTCAGCTACAGTAGGTTTAACGTAGTAAGAATAGGCCTTCTACAGAAATGGAATCCAGCGTATAACTAAAACACTGCATAGTCTTTACTGTATGACTCAAATATAAACTGATTCTTATTAAAGATCCAAAAGTGATTCAGTCAAGAGCAGTGAGTGATTTTCTGTCCTGTTGTTTGATTAACTAATGACAGACAGCAGCAGGTTTATTAGACTGCTGTACACGTTCTGTTTGCACACTTTGGTGTTTTGCTTATTGTGCTTAATAACTTCATTAAACATCACACATGTCCCAAATTTGTGATTGCATGCTGTCTTTGAGGCGGCTTTCTGTGCACACGCTTTGGCTATGTTTCAGCACGAGCACTGAGTTCTTACTAGGTACTAGGCATCTAGTAACTCTGATTAACATCAATCATTTTCCACTCTTTTTTTTCCCATTCATGCATGTTTTTTATCACCTTTATATCAGGTGTATATAACTTTTATTTAGTTCGTGGATACGTGGATATATTTGCATACAGCAAAATAAACAATATAGAAAAAATCTATACCGTGGTAACGATATATATACCGCCCAGCCCTAGTGAGAACCTACCAACAGAGGATGGGCAAACCACAAATTGGTGACATTGGGCATCCAAGGCTCATCAATGGTAGGTCTATGTGGTGACAATGTTATGATGGGCCTGTGTAAAATATAGCTAGTTTACAATAGCATAAGCACACCTGCTCATAATAAATATTGTAAACAGGCAGAATGGTCATAGCTCCCATGATGACACCTGTCCACAGCCGAAAGCCCATAGAATGAGCACATGAGCAATGGAACTGGACCTTGGAGCAGTGAAAGAATATTGTCTGGCCTGATGAGTCCTGTTTTCTTTTCCTTTACGGAACAAAAATATATGGGAATATACTGCAAAATATAATGTGATGTATTACATTACAATCCATATATTGGAAACTAGTGCTTACATTTTTCAGTATACAGCAATATATGCATTTGGCTATATACTGATAGATACAAATATATTTAGAAAAGAAGACAAAGATTAAGTCTAATATTCATAACATTTGATCCTTTAATGAGTATATTTTGCACATAGATGTTCCCATATAAATGTGAATGTATACACACATATATACATGCTCACGGAATGAGTTAAAGCAGATTTCTAGCTCCCAGCAAACTTTGCTTCTGACTGTTAAAGGAGAGTAACAATTTTAAAATTAAGTGTTATTCCATGTTTTTGCTCAATATTAATATCGGGGGAGATCTGTTAGTGTTTAATGTTGTATTATTTTGAAATGTAAACGGGTTTCTTGTGTGTTTGTGGGGTTATCATTGTGTGGAAGAGCCTGTCGTCAGGATGACAATTGGCCAAACACCATTACTTTATTTAAAAAGTAATGGCTGTGCACTTTTCAGCACAGTGATAGTCTGTTAACTAAGTGTTTATTATGAGCAGGTGTGCTTATGCTATTGTAAACTAGCTATATTTTAAAATATGACATGTAAAATTGCTTTATTCTTTTTCTATTCGGTTTTCTTTTTATCTATTTATCATTTTTTTTAAACTTGCTACGTGTACTACATTAAGCTAACTGAGACTTGTTATAGCACTTGCGTATGTAATTTTATATTCAGTAATACACTTTATAATTTATAGATGTACACGTGATAAGATATGGTAGGCCCACTGCATGTGTAAAAATATATTGAACATTTACTCATGCAGTATATACACACATACCTTATGGAAATGTATATTTCTTATATTTAACATTTACATAACATTTAGTCATTTAGCAGATGCTTTTATCCAAAGCGACTTTCAAATGAGGACAATGGAAGCAATCAAAATCAACAAAAGATTCAATTGCTTCCATTGTCCTCATTTGAAAGTCGCTTTGGATAAAAGCATCTGCTAAATGACAATGTTAAATATAAGAAATATACATTTCCATATAGTGTGTGTATATACTGCATGAGTAAATGTTCAATATATTTTTACACATGCAGTACCACATCTTATCACGTGTACATCTATATATTATAAAGTGTATTACTGAATATAAAATTACATATATTGTGATATCTAAGTAAATATACTGCCACATTTTTCAATATATGAATGCGGCAATTCCTAATGTATCGTTTAATATATTTACACAATATATTATTCTATATAATTTCTAATATACCATTATGTCATTTAATATATTGATCTATATATTGGTAAATGAAGTTTATTTGCAAAAACAGATAACTCCGTTTTTTAAAATGTTCAAAAATCATGCTTTTTATTAAGTTATGTTTTTATTGTGTTCTATTGTGTTAGTTAGCTGTTTTTTTTTAGTTATTTTTTAACCGTGTCAAAATAACCCAACTGTAGTTTGATTGAGATTAATTGCAATGCACAATGAAAAAACATGATTTTTTATCTGTTTTTGCAAATTAACTCTTCATACACACATATATATATATATATTCTGATCTTCCATCTGCATGCATTTTATAACCCTGTACTCTTCCTGTGACACCTATTGACTCATTTTCAGGACAAACATCTCAGTCTTCCCCGTCTCAAGCGCTTGTGAAAGGAGCAGGTTGTGTGGGGTTGAGGTTGGAGTGCTGTGTGAGATGTGTATTTGCATGATTTACTCCATTGTAATTATCTGAAGGGGAAAGCGGCTTTTCCGGTGCTGAGTAATGAATATGTTGTTTTATCATCAACAGCCTCCATCAGTGTGATGAGAAAGAAATTAATTTTTGAGAATTGTTAACAACTGAGTTATCTGTTTTTGCAAAAGAACTCTTCGTATTTTCTTTGTGTAAGGGTTATATCACATTTATTTGGGGATATAATGGCACCAGGATGCACTGCAGGAAGATGACAGGCTGGTAATGTTCTGTGCAATATCTGCTGGAAAACCCCGTTTCAATCTGACATTCAATTTGACGCATGCCTCCTTGTGTGTAAAAACATACTTTGCAATTAAGCTCTTTCTGATTCTAAACTAAGCACATGTGAACATAATGAGTAATTACAGAAACAAATGACATGGGAATCTCAGGAAGCTAAACTAAAACTAAACTAAAAACGGACTATAAAACTCAGAAAGAACAGAGGCCCCTTCTCTAGATGGATCCTGTTGCCATAAACACTAAATTAGCTTTTTGCTTCACAAGATGTTTATTGATGGACTGGAGTCATGTGGATTATTGTGATGTTATTATCAGCTGTGCGGACTGTCATTCTGATGGCACCCATTCACTGCAGAGCATCAATTGGTGAACAAGTGATGTGATGCTATATTTCTCAAAACCTGTTCCAATGAAGGAACAAAGTCAACCATTTTTTAAGTCAGACTTATGTTTTTGGTTTTTTAGATTATTTTACCAAGAACAAGACCTACACAGCAGATTAGCCATGTTACTATAAGGTAAACAATAGTAAAAGTCAACCCACCTTCATTTTCAAAAAACCCACTGTGTGTTGGTACCTAAACTTACCTGGGCATCCAGTTAATCCAGCTTCACTATGCAGGCTCCAGGTGTCTCAAGGTAGGGTAGGATTGTGAAAGGCCTCTTCTCATATATTTTAAGGAATTATTATGCCTGCTCTTCACTGCCACTGCAGCACTGCTAAACCAGTGCTACTTACATGCAATACATTTTAATCTTAAAATTATATTAAACATAAAACATAGCTACACATGAAGAAGAAATATATAGCCAACCATACTCCTTGTATTTTAGACAGTACCACGAAGGAAAAGCTTAAAGAAGTACAAAAAGGAAACTCATGGATTTTTACAGAATGAATGAGTTCTCCAAAGTAATGCTTGACTTGTACTAAACTTAGCTAACTAGCATCAACACTATTTTATACCCACAGGAGATCCCCACTGCCCATTTTAACGCTTTAAATGGAACTTACTGTCACTTCATTCTTTTGAAAAGTTTGTTGCTGTTTAATTGGTGCTTTGATAAAGTTGTGAAAAAAAAAACAGAATGTGGAAACGATATGTTACACAATGTAAACAAAATGTAACAAGTTTATTAAGTTGCAGAGACAACTATTTTATGAATCTATCAAAAAATTAGGTTTCAAATCATTAATTAGAACAATATAATCTTAGAATAATGAAATAATAAAAAATAGTCATAGTATAAAACTGATCAATTTCCAAACAAATGGGAAATAACTCTCAGAAAGTGGACCCAAACTCCAGTGCTGCTGAAGTATCATCACGGATGACTTCAGAGGCGTAAGGGGGGCACTGGCATGGTGACATCACGGAAGAACCGATGAACAAGGGCGTTCTTTGCTGAGATCCTCTTGTTAGGATCATAGATCAACATTTGCTGTGGAAAAAAAAAAACATTTTTAAAACTAGAAATGTTCAAATTAAAATCAGTATTGTTTCCAGGTAAAAACTGTGGGGTAGAGATGTATAATTCAATCGTATTCACTCGAAAACAAGGATGGACAGGGGACGTGGGTGGGTGGGTAGATCTCCTATGAATCAGATTATCAGTCATCACCACCAATCCAAAAATTACAAATTAATTTTGATACTTCCTGTACAAATCATGTCACACTTGATTGATCATTGGTGACAATTGAGTCTTCTGGTAATTGTGTACTTCCCTAGTTGAAAACATTAACTTACTGAATTTTTATGATTAGAATAAAGATATTTAATTTAAGCCTGCGATATGGCCACTGAGAATCCGCCTTTAAAGTGAAAAGCATCCTCTGAGTACACACAGTACCACAAGGCATGCTTTGGCATAGGAAAAATCAGTAGGGGGCATTTAGTGATATCCTTGAAGAAAAAAAAATCTCTCAGTCTTTATTCAGAGAAATAAAAAAAAGTGCAGTGCAAAGACAAAACATTTTGATGTCACACCATCATCAGTGTCTACGTATAGATTACTACAACTTCTAAAGCACATTAACCATTAATCTTCTAAGACATGTATACTGAAGTCAGTTTTTAAAAAAATTATCTGATCTCATTTATAGATCTTTTTACCTTTTTACATCTAAAACAGTATAATTCTTCAGTATAATTCAATATACATGATTCATTATAGTTGTATACTTGCATAAGCTGTTTATACTTCAATCATATTATAAATATATATATGTATATATGTATACGGTATATAAAATATAGCTACAAGCAGCAATTAAAGGGCCCAAACACAACAGAGTCAGAATGAGGATTTAAGCATGGCAGGAAGCATCAGACCAATTGCAAAAATGTGGACAAACATCTGGACATGATTTTAAGCAAAATGGTTGAAAGTACAATAACTAGTAATATCATTTAAATGGGACCTACTATGCAAAAATCACATTTATAAGGTGTTTAAACAGTTGTGTGGCCGCATTGGTTAAAGAGTCGGACTCGTAACACAAAGGTTGTGGGTTCGAGTCTCGTACCGGCAGGGATTGTAGGTGGGGGGAGTGAATGTACAGCGCTCTCTCCACCTTCAATACCACGACTGAGGTGCCCTTGAGCAAGGCACCGAACCCCCAACTGCTCCCCAGGCGCCGCAGCAAAAAACTGGCTGCCCACTGCTCCAGGTGTGTGTTCACAGTGTGTGTGTGTGTTCACTGCTGTGTGTGTGCACTTTGGATGGGATAAATGCAGAGCACTAATTCTGAGTATGGGTCACCATACTTGGCCACATGTAACGTCACTTCACTTCACTTGTGTGAAAACAGCCAGCCTATAATGATAAAAATCTTTAAGGCAAATAATTTAAGGCAAAAGCTTTCAATAATCAAATTAATGAATAATACCTCCAATGAAACAAAGCAATTAAAACTAAAACTCCTTAAATACAAATACTAAATTAAATACAACTCATTTTCCCTTTTTTTTTTTTGTGGCTTCTGTCATATCTGGAGGCAACCAGGCACCGCTCAACACCTGTGCAGTACCATCCCAATGGAGAAGCATGGTGGTAGTAGCATCATGCTTTGGGGGTGTTTTTCAGAGGCAGGGACTGATTATGGTAAAATGAAAGCTGAATACAGCAAAATATAGAGATATCCTTAATGAAAACTAGAGGTCAGCCGATAGTGGATTTTACTAATATTGATAGCTAGGTTGGACCACCATAGATTTTTGCCGATAACCGATAGATCCAGCAATCAACTATCGATGCTGATTAATCAGTAAAACTGATCAATCAGTCGACCTCTAATGAAAACCTGGTCCAGAGTGCTCAGGACCTTAGACTGAGCCGAAGGTTTACCTTCCAACAGGACAACGATCCTAAGCACACAACCGAGATGATGCAAAAGTGGCTTAGGGACAAATTATTGAAAGTAACCCAGTCAAAGCCTGGACCTGAACCCAAACAAATATCTCTGGAAAAAACAGAAAATGGTTATCCATTGACAGTCCCCATCCAACCCAACAGAGCTTGAGAGGATCTCCTCTAATCCAAGAGTGAGAATACAAATACAAATTGCCAAAGGTTAAGGATAGTAACACTTTCCAAAGTATGTGCACCTTTCTGCAGATTAATATAAATGAAGATTTTTTTACAAACTGTGCTGTTAAATATCAAGCATGTTGCCAATAAATGGATAACCCCTGCACAACAGCATGCCACCCAAACAAGCTGAATAATAGATCTGTAATATTGGTTCAAAATGATAGCAAGATTTTGTGAAGAACTAATAACTTACAATGACCACAGATCTCATATCCTTTTGTGCGTTTAGAATGTTCAGGATGTCAGGTGAATATACAGCATTGTCACGAGCAATGGAAGACCACTACCCCATAGCCCATATTTGTGACCGATGCTGCTGATCTGGTGCAAAAGGAGTGAGCCAAGTATGATTCTGGGAAGAGACCACAGAACTGGCAGACTTTGCAAAGTTGTGTAGCAAATCTGGATCTGGACATGACCTTTCTCTCCTCAGTGATGAATTCATTTGGGTAAGCATGAGGACACAGGTTCAGGAAAGGGGCATGGAATTGACAGGACAAATGACAGTAGGGGTAAACGTACCTATTAAGATCAACAAAATCTACATTGAGGCATTTTTAGTGCACAAGATAGCTGTTTCAGTACAAGAAGTTATATTAAAATAAAATATTAAAGGGATAGTTCACCCAAAAATGAAAATTTGATGTTTATCTGCTTACCCCCAGGGCATCC